TCAGTTGGTTAGAGCATTGTCATGATAAGCCAAGCTTTCGGGTTTGATCCCTGATCAGGACATATACGAGAGTCAGCCAATCAATGCATAAATAAGTGGACCAACAAATCCACGTTTCTCTCCACGCCCCCCCCCCAAAATCAGTAAATAAGAAAAAAAAAGAAAATACCAAAAAATAAAAAATCACTAAACTTTGGGCTGATTGCTTAACATGGCAATAGCTAACCAGGAAAACTGGTGTCATAACTTTTACAATGTGAGAACAATTCATTGTCTCACATTGAATAAGATGTCTAACCAGCCCTGGCTGGTGGGGCTCAGTGGATTGAGCACCAGCCAGCAAATCAAAAAGTCACTTGTTTGATTCCCTGTCAGGGCACATGCCTGGGTTGTGGGCCACGTCCCCAGTTGGGGGCACGTGAGAAGCAAGCGATTGATGTTTCCCTCTCTCCTGCCCCTTCCCCTTTCTCTAAAAATAAATAAAATCTTTTTAAAAAAATCTCTCAGGAAGTTTCCTTCAGGATGTCGGTGGGGACAGCTGTCATCTGAAGGCTTGACTGGGGTTGGAGCATGCGCTTCCAAAGTAGTTCACTCACGTGGCTGGAGGACTTGGTTCTGAGACCCGAGTTTCTCCAAGGCTGTTGGCAGAAGTGTCCTCAGCATGGCAGCTGCTTCCTCTAACAGTGAGTGAGTCACGAGAAAGCAAGGAAGAGTTGCAGTGACAAAGGGAGAGTGAAAGAGGAAGGGGAACATGAATGTGTGAGGAGACATCAATCAGTTGTTTCTCACATGCCCCCAGTTGGGGACCAGGCCCACAACCCAAGCATGTACCCTGACCAGGAATCAAACTGGCGGCCTTTGGGTTCACAGGCTGGTGCTCAATCCATTGAGCCATCCCAGCCAGGGCCAGAGTGAATTTTAATGACCTAATTTCAAAGTTACACCCTGTCCTTACCACAATACCCTCTTAGTCACAGTGGTCAGCCCTACTCAGCGGGGGAGGGACAAGAGTACCCGCAGGTGAAAGTCGGTGGAACCTGTGCTGGAGGTGCGCACCACAGTTTCGATATAGCATCTTTATTATTGTAGACAACTTTGACCTCAGAATTTTCTAAAGAGTCTTCTTCCCTCTACTCACCAGCTGCACTGTTTAAAGATCTGTGACTGTGTTAAAAACCCTTTCTTCTGTCTCTGCTACTGAGGCAGGGGGAGGGCTAATTCACGGGTTTCAAATAACAGCCACAGAAACAGCCAGCTTCAAACATCATAGGAAACATCATTTTGCCCTGGCCAGGTAACTCAGTTGATTACAGCATTGTCCTGCTAGGCCAAGGTTTGTGGGTTCGATCCCTGGTGAGGGCACATACAAGTATCAACCAATAAATAAGTGAAACAAGAGGACTTCCAGCCAAGATGGAGGCACAGGTAGATATGCTTTACCTCCTTGCACAACCAAAATAAGGGAAACAACAATTTTAGAAACAAAAAACAATGAGGACTGCCAGAAAAATCGAACTGTATGGAAGTCTGACAACCAAGGAGTTAAAGAAGAAACATTCATCCAGACTGGTAGGAGGGGCCGAGATGGGCAGCGGGGTGGAGAGGACGCGCGGCGAGGCGGCAGCTGGCGGACTGTGCTGGTGAGGCGGTGGCTGGCAGACCGGGCAGTCTCACATTTGCATGCGGATAAACTGGGAGGAACAGCTGGGGAGTGAGACAGATCACACAGTCCAGGGTTCCAGTGTGGGAAAGGGAAAAAGTCTCAAAACCTCTGGCTATAAACTTCTGTGGGGGTTGTGGCGGCGGGAGAAACTCCCAGCCTCTGAGGAGAGTGTGTTGGAGAGATCCACAGGGTCCTAGAACATATACAAACCCATCCACCTGGGAATCAGCACTAAAAGGGCCCAATTTGCTTGTGGGTAGTGGAGGAAGTGACTGAAAGCCAGTAAGAGCTGAGCAACTGTCATTGTTCCCTCTCGGATTTCTCCCCTACATACAGTGTCCTGGGTTGCCCAACTCTGGCAAATATCTAAGGCTCCGCCCCTTCCAATGTAACAGGTGCACTGAGACAAAGAAATGTGGCCCAAATGAAAGAACAGATCAAAGCTCCAAAAATAGAACTAAGCGATGAAGAGACAGCCAACCTATCAGACACACAGTTCAAAACACTGGTAATCAGGATGCTCACAGAATTGGTTGAGTATGGTTGCAAAATGGAGGAAAAAGTGAAGGCTATGCAAAATGAAATAAAGAAAAATGGGGAACCAACAGTAAAGGGAAGGAAACCGTGAATCAAATCAAAAATTTGGAGCAGAAGGAAGAGATGAACCCTCAACCAGAACAGAATGAAGAAACAAGAATTTAAAAAAATGAGGAGAGGCTTAGGAACCTCTGGTACAACATTAAACGTCCCAACATCCAAATCATAGGGGTGCCAGAAGGTGAAAGGGAAGAAGAAGAAATTGAAAACTTATTTGAAAAAAATAATGAAGGAGAATTTCCCCAATCTGGAGAAGGAATTAGACTTCCAGGAGATCCAGGAAGCTCAGAGAGTCCCAAAGAAGTTGGAGCCAAGGAAGCACACACCAAGGCACATCATAATAACATTACCCAAGATTAAAGATAAGAAGGGAATCTTAAAAACAGCAAGAGAAAGGAGACAGTTATGTACAAAGGAGTTCCCTTAAGACTACCAACTGATTTCTCGAAAGAAACCTTGCAGGCAGGAAGGGGCTGGAAAGAAGTATTCAGTGTCAAGACTTCCATCCAAGATTACTCTATCCAGCAAAGCTATCACTTAGAGGGGAAGGGCAGATAAAGTGCTTCCCAGATAAGGTTAAGTTCAAGGAGTTCATCATTACCAAGTCCTTATATGAAATGTTAAAGGGACTTATCTAAGAAAAAGATGATAAAAAACTATGAACAGAAAATGACAACAAACAACTATCCAAAACTGAACCTAAAGAAAACAAAAACAAAAACAGAAACAAACTAAGCAAACTACTAGAACAGGAACAGACTCACAGAAATGGAGATGAGAGGGGGTGGGGAGGGGGAAAGATACAAGGAATAAACAGCATAAATAGTAGGTACAAAATAGACAGGGGGAGGTTAAGAATAGTATAGGAAATGGAGAAGCCAAAGAACTTACATGTATGACCCATGGACATGAACTAAGGGCGGGGAGAGTGTTGGAGGTGGGGTGCAGTGGGGAGGGGAATTAAGGGGAGAAAAAAATGAGACAACTGTAATAGCCTAATCAATAAACTATATATTAAAGAAAGTGAAACAAGCCGATATTTCTCCCTTCCTCTCTCTAAAATTAATCAATATAAATTAAAAATAGGAAACATCATTTCTCCCAAAGACATGCTTTTATTTAAAAAAAATATATATTTTTTTTAAATAGAAATAGGGGGAAGGAGGGAGAAAGAGAGGGAGAGAAACATGGATCAGTTGCCTTTCACACACCCCCAACCAGGGGCCTGACTGGGAATTGAACCAGTGACCTTTTGGTTCAGAGACTGTGTCCAATGAGCCACACCAATCAGGGGAAGTCATGCTTTCTTACCTGTAGAGAAACTCTTTTCTAAAATCATGAAGTGTCGGAAATTCTATCAGTAAACAAAACATCCAAATCTTGCCTGTCTAAGCCGTTTGATACAGAGTAGCAGCCTTGATTTCCAACCCAGGTGTACAGTTTCAAGGGGTTTCTGGGTGACCTGGCGCTCCTGGCACTGAAACTGCATTCATCTTCCAGTTTCTAAGGGTGCAGGACCCCAGTTCTTTTTCACAGTCCACATCTGATGACGACCCTGCTTTGCTTTGAGCCTGTCATCTTGTCGTCACCTAAATTCCACCCTTCCTCCAAGTTCTGTAATAACTCTACCTTCTCCTTCTTTGCCAAGATGCTCCATGGTTTCTCTTTTGTAGGCACCATCATTGCAATGCGCCCAATAAACTTTACTATCAGACTAGTTCCTGCTGATGCTAGGCTGATGGACAGGAGCACTTCCAATCTTCAAGTGCCATGGCTCCCGGCCACCTCCGGGACATAGATCCCTTCTCGTATATGCCCAAACCCTTCGTCGTCTGACCCCAACCGGTTTTTCTAATCCGAGCTCTCTTTTCGTATTTCTTTTTAAAAGGAGATATAATAATTCCACATAGTAAAGTGCATGGTTCAATATGTATGGTTCTTGTGTGTACAGTTCAATAAATTTTTATTTTTATTCATTTTTAGAGAGAGAGGAAAAAGAAAACACCCCAAAACATCCATTTGTTGTTCCGCTTATTTACGCATTCATTGGCTGCTTCTTGCATGTGCCCTGACCAGAGATCAAACCGCAGCCTTGGCATTTGGGGACCATGCTCTAACCAACTGAACTACCTGGCCAAGGACAATGAACTTTAAATATCGCAGAGGCAGGCAGTCACCACCCAGATCAAGATTTCGCACATTTCGGGTACCCATGGAGCTTCTCATGACCCCACCCTGTACACATCCTGCCAGTGTATCACTACAGATTAGTTTTGCCACTTTCAAACTTAAGACATTCCTTTTATTTTCACACAAACACCCATAAACACTCATAGGGGTTAGTCGTCGGGAGACGTCCTGCCTCAAAGAATGCGGTTTTTGGCCTCCGCTGTTCCTCTCTGCTGTACATGTACAGAAGATGATTCTTCTGCCCTGGGAGAGTTCACGCACCCTGCAAGCTTCTGAAAATACTGCAATGGAGGAACGAACGAATGAATGAATGAAAGCTACAGCTGCGATAGAATGGGTGGCCAGTGGCACGGCGCCACGACCGACTCCTAAAGGGCAGTGTTGATTGGACGATCAGGCGACGAGGGGCGAGGCGAGTGCTGCCCGAGGCAGGTGCGGCGCCGTAAGCCTCTGGCCCTGCGGGGCAGAGGCCCACGGTGGCCATTTTGCGGGGCGGTCACGTGAGTGCACGCACGCTCAGCGGGACGCTCACGTGACTGGGGGCGTGCTGCAGCCGCCTGGGCAGACCCGGCGAAAGGCGGCGGCGGGAGCGGCAGTGATGGACGGGTCCGGGGAGCAACCCAGAGACGGGGGTGAGGCGGGAGGCAGACGGGTGGGTGGAGGGCGATCCCCTCGCCGGCCAGCCCCACGATCTCGCCTGCCGGTCTCGGGGCGTGTGATCTCCCAGCACTCGGGGTCAGAAACTACCGGATCGGGTGCTGCCAGCCAGCCTCCAGCCCCCTCCTTCCCCGAGATTCCCCGGCTCTCTGTCCTCCGCACCCCGATCCCTTCCTGGCTGGCGCTCTGGGACCCCCGAGAAGCTGGAGACCCAGAATTCAAGCCCCCGGGCAAGCCCGGGCTTGTCGCCGGCACCACTTCCTGGTGGGAGGGGCGGGTCTCCCCTCTGTCCCCTCAGGCCGGGATGCTTAAGTGTTCCTGGAGCTTCCTTTCCCGGAAGACGGTAGGATACAGGCCTAGGCTCCCCGCCTCTTTCTCCATCAGGGACTCAAGTTATCTGGGCCCCCAGTCACTTCGTCTACTAGAGACCCAGAAATTTAGGGTCCCCTAGCATTGTCCTCCATCAGGGGTCAGGAATCACCCCAGTTCCCCTAGGACCCATGAGTCCAGGCACCTCTTCCCTCCTTTCTCCTCTAGGGCCCACCAGCTCTGAGCAGATCATGAAGACAGGGGCCCTTTTACTTCAGGGGTGAGTGCGAGGTCTGATTATTGCAGAGCAGATTTGAGGAGTGACCCCCCCATTCTGATTCTGCACCACCCTCCCCTCCATTCCCACTCTAGTTTCATCCGGGATCGAGCAGGGAGAATTGGGGGAGACACACCCGAGCTGGCCCTGGAGCCCAGGGTGACCCCGGACGCATCCACCAAGAAGCTGAGCGATTGTCTCAAGCGCATTGGAGATGAACTGGACAGTAACGTGGAGCTGCAGAGGTGTGCCCACCGCCCCCCAACCCCGCCCGGGGCCCAGGAGGACCAGCCCCCAACCCCCTCTTTCCTTAGGAGCATTGAGCCCAGGCCCACGGCCCCCGTTTCCCTCAGACCCAGGGGTCCAGGGTCCCACCACTCAACTCAGGAACTCTGACTCCGCCCTCCCCTCTCCCCTTGGACCTTGAAACCCTCCTTCAGCAAATCATTTTCTCCACTTTCCAGAGTGTCATCTTGTCCCTTCCCCCCCACGATGGCCTCTTGTTTTGTATTTTCAGCATGTCTTGGGCCTCAGTTTTCTTACCTTTGGTATGGGGTGAACGCCAGACTTCCCACACTCTGCCTGACCCTCCCTCCCCCCAGCACTGGCCTCCCCCCTCTCCTGCAGGATGATCTCAGCCGTGGACACAAACTCCCCCCGCGAGGTCTTTTTCCGAGTGGCATCCGAAATGTTTTCTGACGGCAACTTCAACTGGGGCCGGGTTGTCGCCCTCTTCTACTTTGCCAGCAAACTGGTGCTCAAGGTGGGCAGCTGCAGGGTGGGGAGCCCAGGGGGGGGTCCCCTCAAACCTACAGGGACCCAGGAGTTGTGAGATTAACGCGGGTGGCGGCCCAGAGGGACCAGAAAGAGATGGCTGTGAGCTGGTGGTTTGCTCCTTCGTTCATTTATTCATTCAACAGACATTTATTGGGCCTCTTATGTGCCAGGCCTGTACTCCACACCTGGGGCACAGCAATGAACAAAGTCTGCTAGGTCCCTGCTCTCAGAGAGCCCACCTCAAAGAACGAGCTCTGAGAGCAGTAAGCTAGGGTGATGTGATTGTGCACAGTGATCAGGAAAGGCCTCTAAGAGGACGTGGCGTTAAAGCCAAAGTTGGAATGACAAGCAAGATGCAGTGATATATAAGGACTGGGGCGAAGGTATCGGGTAGAGGGTACAGCAGGTGCAAAGGCCCTGAGCTAAGACCAAGCCTGGTGGGTCCAGGGCACTGCGGAGGCCCACGTGGTTACAACAGAGTGAGGAGGGGGAGAGGGGAGGGGATGAGGGCAGGGGATGAGGGCGGGTTGCGAGGGGTCTCTGGACCCCTGGGGAGACGTCAGCTTTACTCCGAGTGCAGCGGAGCGATTGGCTGTTTTTAAACAGGAGAGTGAGGTGACCTGATTTAGACATTTAAAATATTACTCTAGCAAGTGTGGCAAAATGCTAATCGTAGAATCTAGGTGGCTGATGTATGGTGGTTCACTGTGAAATTACTTTAACTTCTCTGTCTGAAGACTCTCATGATAAACTTGGGGGAGGGGAAGCCCGACAAATTGTTCTGGTCATTATGGGTAGGACAAGGGCTTTGGGGGCACAAGGGCAAAAGCTGGGAAGCTGGCGAGCGGCACCTATCATAGTCCCTGTGAACAGCCACTCACCTGGACCCGGGTGGTAGCACTGAAGGTGGCGAAGTAGGTTTCTTGACGTCTTTGCAAGCCTGAGCTAGTGGGGGTTGAACTCCGGAAGTGACGGGGACAGCCGTCACGGTGATGGCAGGGGTGACGGGGCTGCGCTACAGCTGGGCACCGCAGGCGGGGGAGCAGCCAGGGAGCCAGGGAGGGCGTTTGGAGGGGGCCTCGGGGATGGAGAGCAGGTGGTGTCTATGGAAGGTGTCAAGCCTTACCTGGCCTGGAGGTCAGAAGCACCTTTTCTTGAGAAGTGACCTTCGACCTGAGCTCTGAGCGATGAATGAAAGTTCCTGCCGCAGAGGCCCCTGCAGGCTGAAGAATCAGCGTGCGCGCCTCGGGCCTCAGGGCAGGGGGAAGCGTTGGATGGGAATGGAGATAGGAGAGCAGGCCCCGAGGCACAGAAGAGCAGCCACAAATGGGGTTGCTGTGAGTCAAAGCCTTTTCACACAGGCCTTTCTGCGGGCCAAGCTATTATCTATGCCTTTTGCTTTATCCCAAGGGTGCTGGGGAGCCATGGGAAGTTTGGGAGCAGGGTGGTTGACAGTGACATGGTCAGGTTTACAATGTAGGAAGCTCATTCAGACTGGAAGCAGAGAAGAGACCGCAGGGGTGCGGGGGCGGGGGACAAGGAGTTGAGGAGGGAGGCTTGGGGACAAGGTTGGGTCCAAGGCCACCCCGCCCTCCACAGGCCCTATGCACCAGAGTGCCTGAGCTCATCAAGACCATCATGGGCTGGACACTGGACTTCCTTCGAGAGCGGCTGCTGGGCTGGATCCAGGACCAGGGTGGTTGGGTGAGGCCCCCAACTCTTCCCCCACTTCTCGGGGACCCCCGGGCCTTCCTGAGCCCTCCGCAGTGGCACGCCCCCCCAACCCCGTACCCATTTTCAGCTCAGGGCATGTGGTTTGTAATGCGTTTCCTCATGTGTCTAATCAACCCTGATTCATCTGGTACCTGCTGACCTTTTTGTGACTCCTGACCTCCCAGTGACCCTTGACCTGACTAGTACCTTAGGCCTCCCTGGCGCCTCCACTTCCCCGGAATCCCTCAAGTTCTTTGATAATTCTTTGACCCCAACTACTCAGTACCTGTTCGTCTTGGGCTCTTGTCCCTACGCATGCCTTCTGACCTCTCCCTGTCCCTTCATGTACTGGTCTGTGGCCGAATCTCTGAAGTGACTGATGTCCTTGTCCCCAGGACGGTCTCCTCTCCTACTTTGGGACACCCACGTGGCAGACGCTGACCATCTTCGTGGCGGGAGTGCTCACTGCCTCACTAACCATCTGGAAGAACATGGGCTGAGGCCACCAGCTGCCTTGGACTATGTCTTTTCTGAATAAATTACAGCATTTTTCCAGGAGGGGTGGGGTTGGGGGCCAGGGGCCTTTTTCTTACTTTTGTAATTATTGGGGGTGGGATGGGAAGGAGTGGTTCCGGGGGGGCGGCAATAAACCTCTTTCGGGCCACATTTCCCAAGTCTGAGTCACTGGGCCTCCTCCCTGCCTGTCACGAGAGACCAGGCCGCACGTGCTGACGCATCGTTTTCTGAGGGTGCCCACTGCCTTCTGTGGGTTAGTGATGAGTTAGGTTATGGCCCTACCTTCCAGGATCTTGCAGTCCTGACGGGAACGGGGTGATCACATGTATTACAACTTAGGGTGTAGACCAGGAAGAGGAGCCGTGGGGGTGGGGGTGGGGCAGAGAACCAGGAAACAGGGTACAGAGCAGGCCTCCTGGGCCTGGAAGCTTCCACCATATGGAAAGTTGCAGATGGAACTGGGGGGCAGGGGGAGGAGGGGAGCCAGCTGGACCTTGGGAAACCTGGAAAGCTACTGGAGGCGGGAAGGTTGAGAGGAGGCTACGACAAGAAGGTCCGAGGCGGAAGACCAGGCCCAAACCTACGTTGGGGGCCACAGCTGCAGACTGACAGGCTTGAGGGGGAGGGAGAAGCCGCTGGAGGAGGAGGAGCTCTGGAGTCTGGCCCAGTCACGGGGTGGGGCGCTCCCGAGAGCAGCCGGCCTCTGGGAAGGTGGCGGGAGCCCTGGGAGATTTATACACGAGGGGGATTCAGAGGGCATCTGAATGAGATCCCTCAGTCACAGAGTCCCTTGGCCCTTTCTGCGGGTTCTCTGTCTCTTTCTAGGTGTCTGTCCCCTTGGCTGTCTGTCTCTGTTCCTCTCTGTCTTCTGTACCAGTCTCTCTGGGTCTTGCCCTCCACTGTGCCCCAGGATCTCCCTGCAACTGCAAGGTCTGTGCTCAGGTCAGCTTTGTCGCACTTCTTCCTGTTCTACCTGTGAGCACTTTCTTCCACAGGTGGGGCCGCCTGAGGCTAAAGGTCTTCAGGCTGAGGTATGAGATCTGGTCAATGTGTAACTCAGGCCCCACTGGGGCAGCGGCCCCTCCCCCATGGACAGTTCCCAGAGACGCCAAGTCACGAGAGAGATGTCAGCCAGATAAGATGGCAGTGAGGGGAGGCTGAGTCACCGTCTGGAGAGAAGGGACAGTATGGGCACAGGCAACAGCCCAAGGGAACTAAAAAGACAGCTTGGAGACAAAGCTCATGCCAGGCCACCCTATGGGGCAGCGGCCAGACTTGGGTCAGAGACAGCTAGGCCTGTCCCCCGTTCCGGCCACGCTGCAGCCTGCCCACCAGGAGATGAGATCAGTGACTGGCCCCGCCCCGCCTCCTGCGGGAGCCCCTTCCTGAGCTGAGTTCAGCGTGACTCAGCACTGCTGCTGCCTGGCCTCGGCCCAGACACCAGAGGAGGACCCCAGACGCCAGCCTGGCCGGCGTTTCCCTGGTCAGGGGCCACCCTGCCTAGGCTGCTTGGTCTACCTCCACTTGCAAAGCAGGCCCTGACCTCTCCCCGGGTCCCCCAACCTGCTGGCAGCCTCCAGCAGGGTCAAGTTCCGGTCCTTTCCCCCGACAACGACAGCGCTCTCCTTGAAGGCCGAGTCCCTGGTGTGAGCCAGGGGCAGCTCTGCCTCCAGGACCCCAGCCTGGCCCTTGCACGGTTTTAAATGTACCTTGATAGTAGACAGACAGCCCAACCACAGACCCCCAGAATCCAGGGCTTCTCTTTGTTACTTAGAAGAAGCATGTGCCCTGGCTGGGTAGCTCAGTTGGTTAGAGCCACGTCTGCACAGGCCAATGTTGTGGGTTCCACCCCCGGTCAGGGCACATACAAGAATTGACCCGTGAGTGCAATAAATGTGTGGAACAACATGTTAATGTCAGAAACATTCAAGCCTGTCGAAAATATCTGTGAGTTTATTTGAGCCAAACTTATGACAATTGTAGGGAAGTGAAATCTCAACAGATTGAGAAAGTGCTCCCAAAATGGCAGTTTTGCACACTATTTTATACTTTACAATCGAAAGAGAAGGCATAAGGGGGCTACATGAACTCCACTGGTGATAGATTAGGGAGGTGAGAAAAAACAGCCATGAAAACTTCGGGATTGGGTGAAAGGTAAAATGATAAGACAGGTGCTTTTTTTCTTTAATTTAAAGATTTTATTTATCTTAGAGGGGAAGAGAGGGAGAGAACATCTATCGGTTGCCTCTCATACACACCCCAACTGGCACTGAACCTACAACACAACCTTGTGCCATGACCAGGAAATTGAACCGATGACCCTCCGCTTTGTGGGAGCAAGCCCAACCAACTGAGCCACACCGATCAGAGGGACACGTACTTCTTTTATATCCGCGAGTATGAGGTAATTAACAATCAACAAGTAACAATAACAACAATGAGAGGACTTGTGGTTTCTGCTTTGGTGTCCCGGTTGTAACCCCGGGGTTTGGAAAAAGGAAATTACCTGACATTCCAAAGGTATGTTATCATAGATTCAAAAAGTCAACAGACAGGGTCAATGAAGGTAAAAAGACTGGCCTTGGTCGGGGAAGATTCTAGTCTAGGGCAATGACTGCCAACCATGACCTGCTTTTAGTTAATAAGTTTTAATTTCAGACCATCCTATGTGGTTACCTTAGGTCTCTGAGTTCGTAAAGCCACCACGCAGGCGTCCCCTGAGCTGGTCAGGTGTCGTGTGTGGCGCCGTTTTGTCCACAAACAGATCAATGTTTCTGTTTCTCTTTCTCTGTCTCTCAAATCAATTTTTTTAAAAAAGTGATAAAAGAAAAGAAGGAGCACGTGGCAGGCAAGGCAAGGACAACTTCAGACAGACTGCTTTAGAGCCAAGAAGAATTCCCAGCATCTCTGGCTGCCTTGAAAACAGTCTCCAGGAAATGCAGCCTCAGAGAGACCCCAAAGATCCTGAAGCATTTCACCCCTCCCCAGCTCAGCCTCTAGAAAAACAATGGACCCCTGAAATAGCCCCAGGGTACTCCAAAGGGTCCCAGACTGTTTCTCAAGGGCTCTCCAAGACCCCCTACCTTTGAAAAAAGCCCATACTAGGCTCCCCAAAAGATCGTTCTCCCCAACTCCTGGGGGTAAGGCCTCAGGCTCTAGAACAACTGCCCTTTCAATATTGCAGAGCACCTCAAGGGCCTAAAGACCTCCTCCAGAAACTTTCCAGAAAAATAGGAATTCCATCGTGAACATTACGGCTACAAAAAGTAGCAGCACCACCTTGGAGCAAACTTCAGGGTTCCCCTTTAACCTATCTTCCAGATCCCCAAGGTGCCTGAAGGACCATCTCACTGTCCCGAAAACTTTCCAATGATCTGGGGACCCCTCAACGCCCAAAGCAAATCCCAATAATTTGAAGGCCTGGGCACCTCTAAGGAACCCCATAGAACTCCAGAGGAGTCCATGCTCGCACAGACAACCCCAGAATCCAGCCAAACTTCCTGACACATTCCTAGGATCACAGAATCATTTTCCAGGGCTCCCGGTGTCCCCATTAATCTTCCACCTACGAGAGAGCCCTCCCCCCCAGGACACCGTATCTACCCGCCCGCGCCGTCAGCACCAGACCCTTGCAAGTTCCCCCTTCATCCCCCCAACTAATTCCCCATTTCACAACAGCTTCCAGCTACAGCGCGTGACTTCCCCACCTCCACAGTGGGGGTCTGGGACGTCTTTTGCTCTGGATTGGTCACTCGTAGCCACAGGCTCCACCTCCCGCCGCCGAGGATTGGCCAATTGCTCCCTCTGACGGCGCCACCTCCAGTGGCTCTGAAAGCTATAAAAGAAGACGCCTTGGCCGTGCATTACACAGTGCCCTCGGCGGTCCTGGGATCTGTCTCTTGCTTCAACAGGGTTTGGACGGAACAGACCTAGGGACGCCCTTTCTTTCCAACTACCTTCCATCCTCTTTTCTATTCACCACCTTCGAAACCATCTCAGCCATCCTCAGCCTCTGAGACCAACCGACGCCGTTTTCTTGACTTTAATTCTTCACTGCCGAGCAACCATGAGCTCCCAGATTCGTCAGAATTATTCCTCTGAGGTGGAAGCCGCCGTCAACCGCCTGGCCAACTTGCATCTGGGGGCCTCCTACACCTACCTCTCTCTGGTAAGGGTCCCCAGGATGACCCAGGACCGAGTGCCCAACAACTGCGCACATCTGGCCTTCTGGGCGCGCGTTGGTCTTTGTCTTGCTGGGTAGCCAGATGGGCGGAGCCTGCACTCCAGACCTCGCCTCCGCTAACCCATATTTCTGCCATCTCTTCCCACAGGGCTTCTATTTCGACCGTGACGATGTGGCTCTGCACGGCGTGGGCCACTTCTTCCGAGAGTTGGCCGAGGAGAAGCGTGAGGGCTCTGAGCGTCTCTTAAAGCTGCAAAACCAGCGCGGTGGCCGCATTCTTCTCCAGGACGTGGCGGTAAATAGTGTGTGGGCCTGCGGACTACATCTCCCAGCAGCCCCTGCGCCCCAGGCGCCTTTCCAGCCGCGGTTTAGGCACGGCGCGGGCTTCTGGGAGAGTTTCGGACCTGTTTGGGTCCTTGGTCGTGGCTGGAGGTGTAAGCACAGCTAGTAGTGAGTCCGCAGCGTGGGCCCCTGGGCCGTGTATTTGCAGGGGACTGCGGATGACAGCCATCTCTTAGACCAGGCCTTTCTTCACCCCTGAAACTATTGGAGAATGTAGTTTTTAGTCTTTTGCGAGTTACGTGGCCAGTACTGAGCCTTCTCTGTCTCCTGTGTAGAAGCCTTCCAAAGATGACTGGGGTAAAACCCAGGACGCCATGGAAGCAGCCTTGGCCTTGGAGAAGAGTCTGAATCAGGCCCTTCTGGATCTGCATGCCCTGGGTTCTGCCCGCACAGATCCTCATGTAAGTGCTCCCTTTATCCAAGCTTACCCACCCTAAGGCCTTGCTGGAACTGAAGCTTATATATTCTGTGTCTTGGTCTCATTTGCGCAAATTTGCGTTCTTAATTTCATTTCCGAAATAGTCACGCTGTTACCTACAAGTGGCAGCATTTTCTCCTTCTTTCATTCAGCTCTGTGACTTCCTGGAGAATCACTTCCTGGATGAGGAGGTGAAACTCATCAAGAAGATGGGCGACCACCTGACTAACATCCGCAGGCTGGGCCCCCAGGCTGGGATGGGCGAGTATCTCTTCGAACGGCTCACCCTCAAGCACGACTAGGCAGCCTTTGGAGCCCAGAGGCCTTTGAGGGGCCCCTCTGCATTTCCCTGGCCTCTGGCTTTTGCCTGAGCCTCCCCCTGCAATCCCACCCTGGAACCCTGTCCCATGCATCGGACCAAATGGAAACAATAAAGCCTTTTGCAGCAGCTGGTGGTTTTGAGTGTGTGCTGTGGGAAATGAGGTGGGATCACGAGGCTGAGTGGATGGGCCTGGCAGAGAAAGAGGCGTTTGTGCGCCTGTGCTAAGGTGCGAGCTCCCCTGGGTTGTCACAGTAGTGGGTGCTGCTTGCCAGGCTAGGTGCCTAAGTTAGATGGTGGAGCCCCCGCTCCAGGGAGGGTCTAGTTGTGACCTGGGGCTGCTGGCTGGAAGCATATGCTGTGTGTCGGATGTGCCAAATTGAAGGGTCTGTTTCTAGTCAGGGAAGTCAAGGAGGATTACCAGCCCCCGTTTCATGGGTGAGTTGAGGCTGTTAGGATAGAAGTTGCCCATGGCAACCGGCAGGAAGGGGCAGATCTGACCTGCTCCAAAGGATAGTTTGCTCCCACTCCCCAAGGCCCCCAAATGGAGGAAACAGTCAAGTGATTGTGAGGCGCTGGGAGCACATGATGTGCCAGAGCTGAGCCAGGGGTTTGGGGCTGGCACAGAAACTGGGAAATACAACTTGGAGCCAAATCATCCAAAGAGGAACTGAAGAAGCTTGAGGATGGGTCCTAGTTACAAAACAAGTGTCAAAACTGACCTCTACCCTTCTATATTGCTAGAATTTTAAGAGGAAGAGGCTGCAGGACACCTCCTGTTTTGTCTGCTCAGCACCATGCTCCTGCTGCTGCCACCGCTCTTTGGTGGTGGGGACTGGGGATCCTGAGGGGGGAGAGGCTTGTGTGTCTGTTGCACTGTGGCCAACAGGATGATCACACACCCAAGCCCAACCTATTGGAGCTTTTTACTCCCATGAAAAGCAGTTGGTTCAGAGATGTTTGTATGACCTAGTTAAGACTACAACGGAAAGGAAAAATATATTTCCCAGCCCTGGGTGGTGTGGCTCCGTGGGTTGAGTGTCGACCTACAAACGGCACAGGCCTGCGTTGTGGGCCAGGTCCCCAGTAGGTGGCGCACAAAAGGCAACCACTGATAATTTCCCTCTTTCTCTGTCCCCTCCCCTCTCTCTAAAAATAATATTAAAAAAAAATAATCAACTGTAGGTTATACATTTTAATTTCAAAGCAAATTTTTTCCCCCAAACACACCTCCCCAAGAGACAGCATGGTCAAAGGCCAGAGGCCGCAGAGCCCTGGAAACACGCCCTAGGCTGCCACTGTGCAGCGGAACTGTTTGCAATGATGAAACTCTTTGTATCTGTGCCATCCAATAAGGTAGCCGCGAGGCACGTGTGGCTGCTTGCGGTGACTGAGCACCTGCTCACTGCTAGTGCGGAGGAGTTTAAAGGGCCGCACGCGCATGGCTCAGGGTCTCCCGATGGGTCCCTTTGGCAGTGACACAGCCCCTTTCTGCCAGAGAGGGAGCGCTTCTCCCAAATTTTTGCCACGTGCGAGTCAGGCGCCAAGTAAACAAGACAAAGGTGCCATCCCTTGAAAGAACACTGGAACCCAGAACAGCAATCCAAGCGCTTCCGTGACAGCAGAATGAGACGAGTCGGGGTCCGACGGGTGGGCAGCGGGAGAAATGGGGGTGGAGGGTAGAAGCCAAGGCGAGGGAGGGGCCAGGTGAGGGGTCACCCAAACCCTCCTGCCGGACCAAACCTGGGATTCTTAAATACAGATGTATTTTCATCCTCCACACACACTTCAGTCACACCCTTCAGCCCCCACTCCCACCTGCAAACCAAGTGCATCAGACACAGCACAGCACACGTGAGGGGCACCTCCCTTTCACCAAAGCTGGGGACTGGGCACCGCTTGGGGACAGAAGCGCCTCGAGGTAAGAATGGAAGTTCTAGAACCCAGCTGGCTCAGTTCTAGACCAGGGGAAGGGGGCCAGGGTGCAGCATCGTGGCAAGGTTCTAGATTTGCCCGCCGGGACCTAGAACCCAGTGGTTTCATGGTGAGCTTGGCGGGTGGGGGAGGTGGGGGCGGAAGACAGCCATTTCTGTCCTCGGCAAGGGGACCGCTTAGGGGGTAGAGAAGGAATCTGGAGATATGGGGAGAACTCAGACTCAGGGAGGGAGGAGGGGCTGGCCCAGATAGGCCAGCACGGCACCTAGGCAATGACTGCGTTTCCTAGTAGCAGCTGGGAACCAAGCGGTGGTGTCCACCTTTGCTGGGCGTCCTTTGCTTCTCCAGGATATACCACGGCAGCCCGATGTTGCAGGTATCCCAGAGCTCCCCCTTCCAGCGCTCCAGGGCCCAGGCTGAGGCGCCCACGTCCAGGAGCACCACCAGGGGGCCCCCTTCGATCAGCCAGCGCCCGAAATACACCTGGGGAGACCCACAGGGAAGCTTAGGGCTTTGACCACAGGCTCTGGGCACAGCGTCTGTGCCTCTCCCACCAGCAGGCAGCGTCCGGGCTCACTGCCCCGGTTTTCCACCCTGTTCCTGCAGCTGCTGCTCATTTCTCACCCGCCGCCTTATTTCTGCTCCTGCCATTTGTTATTCCCACCACAATCTTGTCTCATCTCTGTTGCCACATTTCTCCTGTTCCTTGCTTAATGTCTGTAACTGCTGTTGTCTCTCAACTGCTGACTCCTTTCTCTACTTATTTCTAAAGACACATTTTGTACATCCTGTCTCTGTACCCCTTGCTGCTATGTTTTTTTAAAAAGATTTTATTTATTTATTTTTATTTTTTGAAGGGGTGACGGAAGGGAGAAGGAAAGGGAGAGAAACATCGATCGATTGTCTCCAGCATGTCCCCAACCAGGACCTGGTCTGCAACCCAGGCATGTGCCCTCACTGGGAATCAAACTGGTGACCCTTCAGCTCGCATGCCAGCACTTAATCCACTGGGCCACACCAGCCAGAGCTGCCATGTTGTTAACATTCACATGGCTCTCCAGTGGGTTCTGATTGTCCCAGGTGGTGTTTACTCATCTCTCTGCCACACATGACAAGGGATGCTGGCTGGCTTCTCTCTTTGGAGAGCCAGGAACACAGGGCCCTTAGCACCGACCTTTTGAATGAGCTCAGCGCTTTACTATGTCGTTCATTCAAACCACAAACCCGGAGGCCGAGGTGAACAAGTCAGGTGAGGGCCGGGCCTTCCCGGGACGCACGCCCATCGGAGCCCAGACCATGGATCCAGCCGTCTCCCTCGTGAGAGGAAGGTTCCACAGGGAGATCGGACTCCCAACGGAGGCCCTTCCGTCTGGATATCCAGAGACCCTAGAACTAACCTGGCAGGGGCAGGGGCCCAGGAAGGCCCCCCTTAGTGAGCAAAGCTCGGTGTGGTTCAGTGAGGGGGCAGGGAGAGCAGGCGGGACTCAAGGACCTGCATGTGCAAAAGCCCAGGGGCAGAGCCGGGGCACCAGGTGCAAGGGGGGCTGGGAGTGAGCAGGCCCGACCCCGCCCAGGGGGACACGTCCTCTGCCTCTGTTCTTCCTCACAGTTCTGGGGGCAGAGAGGACTTCTTCCATCACCAAACAGTTCCTGGGCACCAGATATGGGCTAGGCCGTGGGGATGGAGCTGTGAATGACACACAGGCCTCGCCTTCCTGGGACTCAGAGGGCAGCGGGGCCACCCCGCCAGCAAGAGCTGGCGACAGCCAAGAGGGTGGGAAGGACTGGCTGGGCTGTCGGCCTGCTCGTGGGGAGGAGCGGAAAGGACTTCCTCGTGGGAGGTGGCAGGGGGCACCGAGGACGAGTTGGTGGAGACTGGAACCAGCTCCCTAACTGATGGGGGAAGGTCCTGAGTCCCAGGGAGGGGTCAGAGGGCGCATGGGGCACCGACCCCAACCCCAGGGTGCCGGCTTTGCCGCCCTGTGGGCTCCTGGGAGCTCCGGCACCCTGCTTGGAGGCACAGGAGTGGAGGTTTGCCGAGTGCGCACTGGGCTGGGCGGTACTGAACGTCCCATGCGCCCAGCACGCACGCGGGCAGTGTTCGCTGCTTGGGACCGGGCAGTGTTCGCTGCTTGGGGCCGGGGCGGGCTCATTCCCAGCTGTGTCGCCAGCTGAGGACCTGGCAGAGCAGATGTCACAGGCAGCCACTGAATAACCTGAGTGTGCATCCGGCTGATCCTCACAGCTGCCCCACGAGGCGCCTGTTGTGACTGTCATCCCATCTTAGCTGAGGGCACTGAGACTCAGAGCAGTCAGTGACCCGTCCCAGCTCACACAGCGAGGGAGCCGCGGATCCGCGAGCAGCGAGTCGGGGTGCGGTGGGGGCGGTGGGGTGTAGCCTTCACGCAGAGCCTTCCTGCAGCAAGGAGACTGCGCTCATTTGTTCACATTCATTCCTTCAGTGCTTCCAAGACAGGCCAGGCACGCCTCGTTTTATTGTACTTTGCAGCTATTGCTTTCTTCTTTTTTAAAGGTAAGGCCCACCAGAGCATAAAGATCACGACTTACTGAAGGCTTAGATGTTGGTTAGCATTTTATAGCAAGAAAGCCTTAATTATGTAAAGGCATTTTTTTACACATATGCTATTGCACACTTAATAAATTACAGTACAGTGTAAACTTTACTTTTATATGCACTGGGAAGCCAACAATTTCATGTGACTCCTTTATTGTGATACTTGCTTCGTGGCAGCGCTCACCTCATTGTGGCGGGTGGAACCAATTCCACCACAGCTCCAGTTATGCCTTAAAGGGCTATGGGTTTCTAGAAGCATATCGCTGGGTGCCGCTTCTGAGCCGAACAGCGAGGGGCTAGTTGCTCTCTGGGCCTGTTTCCTTATCGGGAAATGAAGGTGGAATAGTTCACCTGCGTCTGTAACGTGAAGCCCTTTACATCCTGGAACCAATGCTGTTTCAGCGCTTCTGTGAGTGGAGGACCCCGCAGACACTGGTGGCACCCAAGAACTGTCCCCATTCCTGCCTGCGGTGCTCACAGTGTAGTGCAGGGGTCGCGAAATCTTTTCTTAACGGGCCAGACAGTAATTCTTCTCTTTGTTGAAAAGATTCCATTCTGCTTTTACAGAGGGAAAGCAGTCCCAGACAATACAAGGGGGGTACGCAGAATAAATACATAAATTCAATGTATTTATAAAAAATTGTGTGTTTATTTTTACATGTTTAAAACTCAGTCACTTTCAAAGTACTCTCTATTTGACGGAATACCCCTATCAAGACATTTTTCCAATGCTCAAAAGTTTTTGAACTTGTCGCTTTTGATGCCTTTTTGTGCTTCTGCCATTTTTTGTTTCCCCTCTTCCACATCGGCAAAACGTTTCCCTTTGAGAATTTTTTTCATTTGGGGAAATAAACAAACAAAAAGTCATTGGGGAAGAGATCAGGTGAATAGGGAGGTGGGAGTGGGGGGCGGTCATCCAGTTTTCGGTCAAAAACTGCCGAACACTCAGTGTGGTGTGAGCAGGTGCGCTTGTAAATGACCCATCATGAAATGGGCAAACACTTTGCAAATCTTCCAAAAAAAGTTCGCTGATGCCTAACGCAGCCTCTCACAACAGTCTGCTGCTACATTGATGCAGATGGGTTCCAGAAGACTCACTTGGTGGGGAAAGCCTGTACTGCAAGGAGCCACCCTCCAGAAGGTAATTCTGTTTTTTGGGGGTCCCCCCACTACACGCAAATGGGCGTGTCTGTGTTCCAATAAAACTTTACATACAAAAACAAGAGGCTGGACTACAGGCTTAATTTGCCTAGCCCTGGTCTAGTGCAAAGCATCGAAATGCAAGTCTTCATTTCTCACTGGCTTTATGGTCTTGGGCAACAGACCTAACCTCTCTGAGCCCCCTCCAGCATCCATGTTGATGAGAGCCTAGGGTGGTTTGCTCCCTGGCTGGGACTATTGTTTTCTCAGTGTTATGTGAATTAAAATTAGAACATGTGAGGCCACCCCCATAGGTCGTAAATACAAAATAATTATGATCCTCAGCCTTCCTGGTTAGTCCTGACCCGATCCTGTGGTTAGCCAGCTCCCAGGGACTTGGGTCTGGCTATGGCAGATTCTAAGAAGAGCCCCTCGCATTCACTGAGCATTTAGCAAGACCCGCCATCCTTCCAGTGAGGCGGGGATCCGGGCCCCCAGTTGGCCGAGGAGGAAATCAGGGCCCGGAGGGGAACCTGTCACCTCGGGCCACACGCTGCTAGGAGCTGGCCAGTAACTGTGTCTCCCGGTTCCTTCTCTGCACACAGGTGCTCACTCGCACATCCGGGGACTGGGGCTGGACGATGCCTTGGAGCCTCGGCAGGTAGAGCTGGTCGGGGTGGGGCGGGAGGCCTGCTCCCGGGAGGCCTCCGGCGGCGGTGTGGGGAGTGCGGGGACTGCCGCGTTCTTCCGGACCTTGAGCCCCGTATTTATAAAAATTCAGCCGCGTGTAGACTTTTCTTAATCTTAAAAAAAAAAAAAAAAACAAAACAAAACTGCGGTGGCAAAGGCTTTTTGGCTTTTCCCCCGATGTCACCGCCAACATCCGTTTCCATGTCCTGAGCCGGGAGGTGGTAGGGATGCGGGGTAGCCCCGCAGGAAGTCACCTGGCCTGCTCTGGCCTCCCGCCCGCAGGCTTCCCAGGGCATGGTCGGTCAGCTGGCGGCCCGGCGGGCAGCGGGCGTGGTGCTGGAGATGATCCGGGAAGGGAAGATCGCCGGGCGGGCGGTGCTCATCGCCGGCCAGCCTGGCACCGGGAAGACAGCCATTGCCATGGGTAAGAGACCGCTCGGGCAGAGGCTCTTCTGGGCCCTGCCAGATACGCCCCCGCCCCTCTCCCGTGAGCCAGGACCAGATCCAGCCGCATTGAACTGGCACCTCAAAATGGCTGCGGCTTATCCACTCCGGGTTTGCTCCCTCACGTGGAGGAACCTGAACGTAGGCATGAAGGGCTTGCTGAGCGGTTCCGTGAAGTCTTCCGCCTTCCCGCCTCAGTGTTCTCTGCACTGGCTTCCATGCGGGGGTCAGCTCGGGTTCCGAGAGGGTTGCCTAAGCTCCAGCCTTCCCACCCATACTCCGTGTAGCAGGAAGAAGAGGAATTGCTATAAAGTTCTCTCTCCTAGATGTACCTTTATGTCTTTAGTTCCCCTATCACTATTTCTGAAAAAAGCCCCTACTAGGCTTCCAAAAAGACCCTTCTCCCCAACTCCTGGGGGTGAGGCCTCAGGCTCTAGAACAACTGCCCTTTTAATCTTGCAGAGCACCTCATGGGCCTAAAGACCTCCTCCAGATAGTCTCCAGAAAAACAGACTTGAATCATGAACATTAAGGCTAAAAAATAAGAATAAAAAAAAAAGAACACCACTTTTGAGTGAATTATAGGGCTCACTTCCAACCCATCTTCCAGAGAGATCCCCAAGGTTCCTGAAGGACCACCTCACTGTCCCCAAAACCTTCCAGTGATCTGGGGACCCCTCAGCTCCCAAAACAAACCCCAGTAACCTGAAGGCCTCGGCAGAGACAACCCCAGAATCCAACCTACTTCTGGAGACAGATCCAAGACCACAGGATCATCATTTTCCTAGGGCTCTAGTGTCTCCATTAATCTTCCATCTACTAGAAAACCCCCAGAACCTCTTGATCACCCCCAGTCAGCACCAGACCCTTGCATCCCCCAAACCCCCACACCCCCTAATTTCCCATTTCACAACAGCCTCGAGCTACAAGCGTGTGACTTCCTCACCTCCAGAAGGGCAGCACTGTGGGACTCCTATCTGTTCTGCATCCGTCACTCAGGGGCTGCAGGCCCCACATACCACCGCGGAGAATTGGCCAATTGCACTTCCTGAACACTCCACCTTCAGAGGCCCTAATGGCTATAAAAGAAGCCATCTTGGCCACCGCATTCCCGCATCTGTCTCTTGCTTCCACAGGGTTTGGACGTAACAGACCTAGGGACACCACTTCTAGGCTCCCACCACCCTCCAACCTCCTACCCAGTGCCGACTTCAAAATCTCCTCAGCCATCCTAGTCTCCAAGACCAACCATCAGGGTCTTTTGAACTTAACTCCTAATAAGAAACAACCATGAGCTCTCAAATTCGTCAGAATTATTCCACTGAGGTAGAAGCTGCCATCAACCGCCAGGCCAACATGCATCTGCAGGCCTCCTATGTCTACCTCTCTCTGGTAAGGGTCACCAGGATGCCCCAGGACCAAGTGCCCAACAACTGCGCCCATCTGGCCCCCTGAGCGCGCGTTTGCCCTCTTTCTCCTGCAGGGTAATGAGAGGGCAGAGTCTGCATCCCTGGCCTCGCCTCCCGCTAACCCTTGTTTCTGCCATCTCTTCCCACAGGGCTTCTATTTCGACCGTGACGATGTGGCTCTGCACGGCGTGGGCCACTTCTTCCAAGAGATGGCCAAGAAGAAGCGTGAGGGCTTTGAGCGTCTCTTAAAGCTGCAAAACCAGCGCGGTGGCCGCATTCTTCTCCAGGACGTGGCGGTAAATAGTGTGTGGGCCTGCGGACTACATCTCCCAGCAGCCCCTGCGCCCCAGGCGCCTTCCCAGCCGCGGTTTAGGCACGGCGCGGGCTTCTGGGAGAATTTCGGACCTGTTTGGGTCCTTGGTCGTGGCTGGAGGTGTAAGCGCAGCTAGTAGTGAGTCCGCAGCGTGGGCCCCTGGGCCGTGTATTTGCAGGGGACTGCGGATGACAGCCATCTCTTAGACCAGGCCCTTCTTCACCCCTGAAACTATTGGAGAATGTAGTTTTTAGTCTTTTGCGAGTTACGTGGCCAGTACTGAGCCTTCTCTGTCTCCTGTGTAGAAACCTTCCAAAGATGACTGGGGTAAAACCCAGGACGCCATGGAAGCAGCCTTGGCCTTGGAGAAGAGTGTGAATCAGGCCCTTTTGGAGCTGCATGGCCTGGGTTCTGGCCGCTCAGACCTTCATGTAAGTGCCCCTTTTATCCAAGCCTACCCACCCTAAGGCCTTCCCTGGGACTGAAGCTTATATTCTAAGCCTTAGCCCCACTTAAGCAGATTTTCTTCCTGAACATTGTTCCCGAAAGTCATGCTGTTATTTACAAGTGGCAGCGTTTTATTTTCTTTCACTCAGCTCTGTGAATTCCTAAAGAACCACTTCCTGGATGAAGAGTTGAAACTCATCAAGAAGATGGGCAACTACCTGACTAACATCCGCAGGCTGGGCCCCCAGGCTGGGATGGGCGAGTATCTCTTCGAAATGCTCACCCTCAAGCACGACTAGGCAGCCTTTGAAGCCCAGAGGCCTTTGAGGGGCCCCTCTGCATTTCCCTGGCCTCTGGCTTTTACCTGAGCCTCCCCCTGCAATCCCACCCTGGAACCCTGTCCCATGCATTGGACCGAATGGAAACAATAAAGCCTTCTGCAGCAGCTGGTGGTTTTGTGTGTGTGCTGTGGGAAATGACGTGGGATCTGCTCCCACGAGGCTGAGTGGATGGGCCTGGCAGAGAAAGAGGCGTTTGTGCACCTGTGCTAAGGCGCGAGCTCCCCTGGGTTGTCACAGTAGCGGGTACGGCTTGCCAGGCTAACTGCCTAAGTTAGATGGTGGAGCCCCCGCTCCAGGGAGGGTCTAGTTTATTTGTGACCTGGGGCTGCTGGCCTGAAGCATACAGTGTTACAAGTATCAAATCATAAGCATGGCCTTTAGTGTGTCGCCAAGTGATGTGCCAAGCTGAAGGTAGTCTGGTTTTACCCGGGTTTCAACCAGGGAGGTTGAAGATTAACGACCCCCGTTTATGTGGGTAAGTCAAGGATGTTAATGTGAAAGTTGCCCATGGCAACCAGCAGGCACACGCAGATCTGACTTGCTCCAGAGGCTGCTTGCTCCCTCTTCTCCAATTCAAGGCTCACGAACGGAAGGAACAGTCAAGTGATTGTGAGGCGCTGGGAGCACATGATGTGCCAGAGCTGAGCCAGGGGTTTGGGGCTGGCACAGAAACTGGGAAATACAACTTGGAGCCAAATCATCCAAAGAGGAACTGAAGAAGCTTGAGGATGGGTCCTAGTTACAAAATGATAGGGATGCTGACCCCTACCCTTCCCTGTTTTTGCTAGAATCTAAGAGGCTGCAGGACACCTGCTGTTTTGTCTGCTCAGCACCATGCTCCTGCTGCTGCCACCACACTTTGGTGGTGGGGACTGGGGATCCTGAGGGGGGAAGAGGCTTGTGTGTCTGTTGCACTGTGGCCAACAGGATGATCACACGCCCAAGCCCAACCTATTGGAGCTTTTTACTCCCATGAAAAGCAGTTGTTTCATGTTTGTATGACCTAGTTAAGACTACAACGGAAAGGAAAAGTATTTTTCCCCAAACACAGCTCCGTAGGAGACAGCATGGTCAAAGGCCAGAGGCCGCAGAGCCCTGGAAACACGCCCTAGGCTGCCACTGTGCAGCGGAACTGTTTGCAATGATGAAACTCTTTGTATCTGTGCCATCCAATAAGGTAGCCGTGAGGCACCTGTGGCTGCTTGCGGTGACTGAGCACCTGCTCACTGCTAGTGCGGAGGAGTTTAAAGGGCCGCACGCGCATGGCTCAGGGTCTCCCGATGGGTCCCTTTGGCAGTGACACAGCCCCTTTCTGCCAGAGAGGGAGCGCTTCTCCCAAATTTTTGCCACGTGCGAGTCAGGCCCCAGGTAAACAAGACAGAGGTGCCTTCCCTTGGAAGAACACCGGAACCGAGAACAGCAATCCAAGCGCTTCCGTGACAGCAGAATGAGACGAGTCGGGGTCCCACGGGTGGGCGGCGGGAGAAACGGGGGGGGGGGGGGGGTAGAAGCCAAGGAGAGGGAGGGGCCAGGTGAGGGGTTGCCCAAACCCTCCTGCCGGACCAGACCTGGGATTCTTAAATACAGATGTATTTTCATCCTCCACACACACTTCAGTCACACCCTTCAGCCCCCACTCCCACCTGCAAACCAAGTGCATCAGACACAGCACAGCACACGTGAGGGGCACCTCCCTTTCACCAAAGCTGGGGACTGGGCACCGCTTGGGGACAGAAGCGCCTCGAGGTAAGAATGGAAGTTCTAGAACCCAGCTGGCTCGGTTCTAGACCAGGGGAAGGGGGCCAGGGTGCAGCATCGTGGCAAGGTTCTAGATTTGCCCGCCGGGACCTAGAACCCAGTGGTTTCATGGTGAGCTTGGCGGGTGGGGGAGGTGGGGGCGGAAGACAGACATTTCTGTCCTCGGCAAGGGGACCGCTTAGGGGGTAGAGAAGGAATCTGGAGATAAGGGGAGAACTCAGACTCAGGGAGGGAGGAGGGGCTGGCCCAGATAGGGCCAGCACGGCACCTAGACCAAGACCGTGTTCTCCAGCATCAGTGAGGAGCCACGGTGTTCTGGCTCTCCTTTGCTTGGCCAACGTGTAGAGGAAGAGGGGACCATGGGCGGAGGGACCCTCCGGGCAGAACCCGACACCACAGGAGGGTCAGAACAAAGTAAACACGAGTGCCTGTCCTGGAGCCTGAGTTCTGGAGTTGAAATGGAGGACCTTCTGCATTCCGTTAGCTCAAGTCCTTTGAAAGTGCTCCAGCTCTGAGGTTGACGGTCCCATTAGCAGGGCACCACTTGGTTTTCCAGTGCTTGATGGCCTCCCAGGCCAGGCTGAGCAGGGTATGCTCTGCGTACTGCAGTGCTTGCAAGCTACGAAGGGTTCTAGGAGCCCCAACTCAGAAAATGACAGGCCACGGCTCCTAAAACCTCTGGCACCAGGAAAGCATAATGGCAGATTTCTGGCCTCTGCCCCAGGCTAGGCCTGGAGACTCAAGGGCACAAACTGTGCATTCTGGAGCCCAAGAAAGGCACCGTGTTGTAGATTCTGGAGTGTTGGGAATTCCAAAAGCAGAGCTGGAGGGGCTAGAGTGTATGGTGAAGGGCGGGGGGGGGGGCTGTGGACCCCAGAGAAGGTTGGGGGTCTGGAGTAGGGTTTAGGGACAGCGCCATTCTGCATTCACCCTCTGGAAGAGGGAGGCAGGGCAGACCGGAGTGTAGGGCGGGGACTTAGTTGCGCTCTTCACCCAGGGAGCTGGCGGGGCTGAGGGGCTCGCTGGGAGTGCTGACTGAGCTGGAAGGCGCTGTGTCTGAGCTGCGCTTGCTCCCGCCTGTGGAAGAATTGCAGGAGGAGCGGCGTGGCCACTCTGGGGCGCGGATGTTGCGTCGGTCCTTGGCGGCCTCCTCCTCCTCGTCATAGCGGTCGCCTTCTTCGTTTGGCAGCCGGTCCTGGGGATCCTCCTCGTCCTCGCTCAGGTGTGGGCTCGAGTGTCGAGACAGTGAGGGTGACGGTGGCACTGAGGCCGGCCGTGGGTAGCGGTACCCCTGGGTCTGTGTGCGCGGATAGTAGAGCAAAGGGCAATATGAGCACAGGTCCCTACTCCTGCCCAGGCGTGCACCCCGCGCCCCGCCCCCCCCGCCCGCCCCCAGGCCTCTAGCTCTGAACCCACTAAGGGACCCCAGGCCAACTCACCTTGTCAGCCTCATGGGGCTCGTAGGTGAAGTGTTCTGGAAAGGCCTTGGCCAGTGCCATGCGGCGCGCAGACATATAGTACTTCAGGGGGAAAAAATGGAGGGGCATCAGAGGGTGGGAGCTGACCAGCCCAGGGCCTGTGCGCGCGCGTGTGAATGGATGGGCGGGGTGCGCCATGGCCACACCTCTTATGCAGATGAACATACTGCAACATCGTCCACTGGGCAACTAAGGTTTGGGGCCTAAGCCAGCGGTTTTCAATTGATGTCCTGCAAGAAGTTTTATTTTTATTTCATTTTAAGTTTTTTAGATTTTATCTATTTTTGAGAGAGAGGAGAAGAGAGGGAGGACGAGAGGGAGAGAAACAGGGATGTGCCAGAGAAACATCCTTTGGTTGACTCTTGAGCGCCCCCAACTGGGGGATCTGGCCTGCAGCCCAGGCATGTGTTCTGGGTTGCATGTGCCCAGGTATTGCATGTTTTAAAAATTCTTGCTAGGGTGGCAAGAAATTTTAAAACATGCAATACCTGACTATTTAGTCAGGGGCACTGAGGTCTTTTGCCTTAGATTATCAAATAAATAAATGATATCAGGCAACACAATAGTTATCCAGTGTAAATGAATCAAAGTTCTACTCTTTGTCAGATTGGCAAAAAATGTATTTTTTGATGTGCTGCAGAATTTCTGTAGTAAGTTTATGTGTGCCTGGAGATGAAAATCGCTGACCTAAGTGTATTATCCATCTTCCCCCTCTGGCTCCACCCCTTATGTAGATAGCAGAGCTGTGAATGGACAGTCTCTGAGTCAGGTTGTTTTGGCCACACCCTTATGTAAATAGAGAATGTCAGGCTAACGTGGTCTCCCAGCAGAAGTTGGATTAGGTTCTTAAAGGGACAACAGCCTTTACAAGTAAGGAGGCAGGCTGCCCCTGCGCCAGCCTTTGAGACTGAGGAACCAGAGACCCAGAACTAGAAGCGGCATAGTCACCAGCAGAGGACAGGAAAGGGAGCGAGTTGTACCCGGCCTAGGTATTTCCAGTCCAGAAGGTCAGAGAGGCGCTCAGTGCGGTTCCGCTGAATGATGCGCTGACGCCGGGTCTGCTGGCAGAAGCTGTAGAGGAAGGAGGTGAGCTGCGAGCAGGAATCGTCCAGGCTGCGGAACCGACGGTCCAAAATGTAGATGCCTGTTGGGGCCAGGGCGGGAACTCAGAAAACAGCTCCGGAATCCTTCCTTCCCTCTGGGACTCGGCCACCAAAACCCCTCCTCCCCAGGCCTCAAGGAGTCCCGGATCTCAGTCTGGGCGCTGACCATAAGCTGAGGGGTCTGCGATGTGTTCTTCCATGAAGCAGCCGAAGCCGGAGAGGTTGGTGGAGACGCTGGGGATGCCCATAACCGTGCACTCGGCTGCGTGAAGACGAGAGAAAGGCCTACTTAGTTTTCCCCTCTGACAGGCTTAAATCTCCACGCAAGTCTCAACGGCTCCCTCTACTGGCGCCTTGAACGAAGAGCTGGACACTGTGCTTGAGCGAGTTAGGAGCTCGAAAACCCAGGCTATTATTGTCCCTATTTCTTGGAGGGGAAGCTAAGAGGCTTAGAAAAAGAAACTTACTTGCCCCAAGGCCTTGGAATGAGGAATAGTCTATAGCTGGGCGGTGAGGATGCCAATGTATTGAGCTCTGAGCCAATGTCCGCCATTCTACTTAATCCTCACAACCTATAAGATACGCTCGTGTGCCAGCCCATACTGTTTTGGTTATCGTAACTTCATAGTCTGTTTTGACAGGAAGTAAGGTCTCTCATTACTGCATTACTCTTGCTGTGTACTGAGTAAAGACTATGCGTTGCTTACTGCCTTAACTAGCACTGAGAAATGGCTCAAGGAGTTCCTTACAATCCTTCCGCAATGCCTCTAAAAACCTGTGTT